AAAAAAGTCTAAATTTCAAAAAGACATTCAAGCTGGAGGCTAACATATAGAAGTTCACCTAAAGCCATGGGGGTAAATTCACAACACCTCAGGAGTCAATGTAGCTTTAGAAGCTTTCCCCACTGTTTGCATAGTATCTCGGAAACAGCAGCAGATGACTAGACCAAGAATTTATAGTTCATGAGAAGGAGCTTGGCTGCAGCCACAAATGAGAATTATCAGATTATAGTGAATAGCTGAAATCATTCCCCAGGGAAAGCCTGTAGGTGAAGAAAAGGCAGGCTAGATACTCAGATACTAAAACCTAAAGCAGGCATCCTCAAACTACAGACCACAGGCCAAATGCGGCCCGCCGAGAACATTTATCCGGCCTGCTGGGTGTTTTTGCCACTGCTGCCTGTACTGTGTAGCAGCCGACTCGTCCTGGGGCCCACAGTCCGGCCCTCCAACGGTCTGGGGACGGTGAACTGCCCCCTGTTTAAAATGTTTGAGGACCCCTGAAAAGGAAGGAGGGATAGCTGGCCACTCCATATTACCTACAAAAAGACAAAAAGTGGAGGAAAAATGGGCAGTATAATAGTCCCTCCTGACCTTACCATCCACTTCTGGATCCATTTTCATTACATACCCAAGCACAAATTAACACCTCATCCTTTGATGTAACCTGGCACTTCCCCAATCCTAGCCTGTGAAGAAGTCAAGAGATTAGAAAGTAAAACACACTTGACACAAAATCACCCTAAACTAGGCAGAATTAGACAGTGCCTTGTCAAATCCTCTTTTTCTTTTCTGAAATATGAGCCTCACAATGTCACCCTTGGTAGAGTGCCATGGCATCACAGCTCACAACAACCTCCAACTCTTGGGCTTAAGTGATTCTCATGCCGCAGCCTCCTAAGTAGCTGGGACTATAGGCACTGACCACAACACCTGGCTATTTTTTTTCTTGTTGTCATTGTTGTTTGGCAGACCTGGCCGGTTTCGAACCCACCAGTTCCGGTGTATGTGGCTGGCAGCCTAGCCACTGAGCTACAGGTGGGGAGCCAAATCCTCTCATTTTAATATAAGCAACACATAATACGCAAAGCAGAAGATGCAGTACCCCCTTCCAAGGAGCATTCTATAGGGAAGACTCATGAGGTGAAAATAATATAAAGAAAAACAAACTTGTTTATCATAATTAGAGGTAGAGATATCCGCAGGCAAGGACGGTTTTGGGTTGGGATTCAGAAGAGGAATCAGAGAAGGATCTCAGGAAGAACTAAATGTAGATAAGAGCAGGTAAAGGGGCTAGATGGTTAAACTTCAAACTACACCAAGACAAAGAGAACTCAACAGAATTGCTAGGAGACTAAGGCAAGTCATTTATTACAAAGGGCCTCCAAGGACTTCCTATTTTACTCAAAATGAAAGCCAAAAGCCTTCATATGACCCAGTAACAATGTTTCACTAAGATGACAAAACAATCACCTGCCAGTTGTGCTTAAGCCCAGATTCCAGGGCCCCACCAGCAGGAGATCTGCTTTCCTAGCAAGGCCCAGCACTCTGCATTTCTAACTGCCACTCAGGGGATGGGACTGCTGTAGGGTCACAAGGACTCAGCAGCCTGAAGGCAGAGGTGCTCAAATTTTAGAGATCCTCAGAATCACTGAGAGGATTTCCTAAAACCCAGATTACTGAGCTCCACCCCCAGAGTTTCTGATGAAGTAGTTCTAGGGCAAGACCCAAGAATCTGCATGTCTAACAATTTCCCAGATGATGCCACCAGTCCAGGAACGAAGCTTAGATAAACAACTTCCAGACAAAGTGATGAAAACACTTAAGAGAAAAGCCTGGTACAGAAACTGATACAGACTGCTATTTGAGCACAATGTGCAGTGTTTTAAGGATTAACTGGGATGAGATGGGCAGGACCTAAGGAGAGACAGGAGGAGGAAGAAGGGAAGGAAACCAATCAGGAGCCCATCTTCTATGGACATCCTCACTACATTCTCCAGCCAACACCTCTTGGAGTTGGTCTCCCTCACTGAACTTGGCTCCTCTCCAGAGCAGGGGCTCTGGCTTATTCTTCTCCTCATTTCCAACGCTTAGCAGGCACTGCAGTCACAGAATTTGACCCAGTGAACAAGGCTTCAGTCTGGGAATGAGGGGCCAGATAATAACTAAAGGGCAGAGCAAAACACATGCAAACTAAGAGACAGACAGAAGAGGCTGTAGGGTGAAGAACCAACATTCCCTGAGGGAATGCAGGGAGGGGCAGGATATCCAGAGGAAAAAGGAAGCACAGATGACTGCGGAAAATGGGGATGCCATGAATAGAAAACAGGCAGTCAGGAGGACAGGCTTGTTATGGATACTGTTTGCAGGAAAGGAAAAGCCCTCCAAGGACATGACTATCCCACTGAAATTCAGCTAAAAGAACTGTCATTTACGATACCATTCCAAGCCAGTGAGTTTGGCTGACAGACAAAGAATACAGAAGTCTAATCAGAAAGAAAGGGTGAAATACCACAGGAGTAAATAAATCAGGCTACATTTACGATTTTTTTAAACCTTAAATTATCAACTTTGTTTTTAAAAATGCTGATTTTAGAATGGATACTGTTCCCAGACAAGTCACCAAATATACAACATGATAAACATTTTTGAAAGAGATGGTAAGACTCTAGAATAAGCCTATTTAAACTATTTTGATGAAATATGGCTTTCTGACTTTTGGACCACGACCCTTGATAAGACAGTAAATATAAATATAGTATATAAGTGACCCAATAAACACATTAAACATGCC